GGGGGGGGGGGGGGGGCGGCGTAGGATATGCGAGCCTAGAACGACGAGCGTCAAGCGAAAGTTGCGTCGCAATTCCGGATACCGATGCAGTGCGCGTTGCCTGACAGCCCGCGCATCCCCAACAGCAGATGCACGACGCAGCTCATCCTGCACGCACCCGCGCCCAACCCGAAATCAAACACACCATACACCTGCCCGCCATCTCGTTGCTACAAGACACGCCATTGTTTCGATGAGGGTAAAAAGCGGGGAGTTGGGGGGAAATTAGATTGCCGACGATGGGCAAAAAGTGAGGGAGGGGTCCTTAGTTGGACGACTCGACACGGTCAAAGTTGGCCTGCACAAACACATCCGTACCGATCTTGGTGGGCACGTCAGTAGTGATGGTCTGACCCTGCCAATCCACCATCCTGAATACGACCGACTTTGTCCCCGCATCTTGGGCGACACTGTCCCACTTCCACCAGTTGTTGTCCACATGCGTCGCCACCTTCCACGTCTCGCCCTGCAGCTTCATCTCCACCCTCACCACCGCCTCGTGCGCTCCACGAATTTGGACCTGGAAGAAGCCTGGATTGGCACCTTCTCGCCAGTGCACCTGAAGCGAGTTTCCACCGCTACCTGACTGCGCGAAAGCTTGCTTGCAGTTGACAAAGCGCCAGTTGATCGGCAGCTTGCTACCGTTCGCATTGTTCGTGACGCTGTTCCATGCGTCCAAATGCATATCCAGTCCCGACCAGCATTGGTTGACGCCAGGACACAGATCACTGACAATCGCAATCGTCTTTTTACCCGCGGGCAGGGCGCCATGCTTGGGCTCTTCCACACTCCACTGCGCAGCATTGCTAAAGAGCGACGCGCTCGTCGAGGCGATCTCGACGCAGGTACCGCACGCAAGACCGTCCTGAAAGAACGTCTGATCCATGGCGACAGACGGAAGATTGGCGTGAGGCAGAGAGTCCAGCATGCATGCTCCGCCTTGCCAGAATCCCGTCGCGCCGCCGAATTGCGTGCCCGGTCCGTGGTGCACAAGGCCAGGGTCGAACCACTCGTGCTTGATAGCGCCGTTGGAAGCGAGTGTGGTGCTGCCCAGAACGCCCTTGCAGTGAACGCCGCCGTCCTTGCCCGGTGCCCCGGCGGCACCTTGAGGCGGCTGGCTGCCCGCGCCCGCATCGGGCTGGGTGCCAGGAGCGGGGCCGTAGCCTTCAGGTGAAGAGCCCGTACCAGCTCCACCTGGCCGAGACTGGCTGCCCTGGCCGGAAGGCTGGTTACCCTGACCCGCATCAGGCTTGGATCCAGGAGCAGGACCGTATCCCTCAGGCCCCGAGCCAGGCGGAGCAATGACCGATCCTACCGGCACCGCATTAGGAGCCTTGTTGCCGGTAGCGCTGTGGTGTCCACTGTTGTGCTTGACACCGTGGTGTCCACCGTTGTGGTGCTTGACAACATGGCTCTTGGCACCATGGTGGCCGCTGCTGTGGTGCTTGCTCGAAGCAGCGTTGACCGGCATCTGGGCCGAGCCAGGGTAGCTTGCCTCAGCGGCGCACTCGGGCTCAGCCTGCCTCTTTCGAATGCGCTTCTGAATGGCCGCGTCGTGCTTGTAGCCGCCGTTATGGTCGACAGCAGCAAACCCAAGACCAGCCTGGGGAGCAGCAAGAACCTCGACCGCCGAAGAAGCCAGGAACGCCGCGAGAAATGCGAGTGCTGGAGTTGCACGCATCTTGTAGTAGAATGAGAGCCGTCAAGGCTGTTGCTAAGAAGAAAAGAGTGTTGAGTGGGGACCAGCCCGACGTTGGAGGAGGATACAGAAGTTGTCCGAGAGTGGATGGGGGAGAAGGGGCGCAGAGGGCACGACTAGGCGAACTTTTATACGGTGTCGGTTCTTTGCAAAAAAGACTTTTTGCCACACACACACCTACACACACGACAGAACATGGTCATGCAGTCGACAAGCCTGCGATCTATCGAACGTGGCTTGCAGTGCACTTCATTGTCCACAACACCTGATTCTCGAGGAGCGACTGCGGCTGGCTGCACTTGCTCAGGAGGCTGTTGCACGACAACCATGCAGGTGGGCCGCAAATGAAGCCTGTGCGCCGACTGCAGCCGCGCTCGCCGTTCGCAACGCTGCCACCGGCCTGCATGAGATGAGCTGGGTACATCCAAGTGAGCCCTCTTTTCTTCTCGCCCCTCCAGACCGCCCGCTTCGGTGCGCCATCGGTGGCAGGATTCCGGCAATGCATAGCGATCCGCCCCCAACGCGAAAAATCCCGAGATCCGAGTCCAGCCGGATGGTGGAGGAATTTCCACCTTGGCGCTGGCGTGCAACCAACACAGCAACACTCACCTCTTTTCCCTACCGATGCATCTGGTGGTGGGCAAGCGCATCTCGCTCGGCTCGCACCGGGGCACGATTCGCTACGTGGGGCCCGTGCCGCCCTCGAGCGGCGAATGGCTGGGGGTCGAATGGGATGACCCTAGCCGCGGCAAGCATGACGGTACGAGCGGTGGCACGCGCTACTTCTCCGTGCGCATCGCCGGAAGCGGCTCATTCATCCGTCCTACCGCATCCAGACTCTGCAGCGGATGCAGCTTCGTCGAGGCACTGCGCAACAAGTACGTCCCGCCAGAGCTGCCAGTACAAGACCAGGTGCACCAGTCGTACTCGCGCAAGACCATCGCCGACGTCGAGATCGAGACGCCCAACCTCGACCGCATCTCGCGCCGCGCCGCGAGGCTCGACAGGCTCAGAGACGTCGGTCTGGGCGGGTGGCAGTCTGGCCCAAGCGTCGAGGAGCAGGCGGCTGAGGAGCAGTACAGTGTCGCGCGCGCGTTCGATGCAGACAAAGGCTTTCCGCAGGGGGCGATTCGCTCGACTTGCCCCAATCTGCGCTGGCTAGATCTGTCGCGCTCTTTGCTGCCGGACTGGGAGGAGGTGTCGCTCATAACGGCAGAGCTGGATCACCTACAGACACTGCTGCTGCACTGTAATCGCCTGCAGCCACCGCCTCAGCCACTGCCGCCGAGCTGGTCGGACCGACTCGGTCATATCCACGACCTCAGGCTTGACGCCACGCTGATCCAGTGGGACGATATCCTCAAACTCGCTCCGGCACTCACGGTGCTCAAGCACCTCCAGCTCGGAGGGAACGGCATCACCACCTTGGCCTCGCCAGGCGCAGTCGCACAGTCGGCAGTGCTACCAGCCTTGACCTCGCTCAGTCTGCAAGAGAACGAGCTTGCTTCGTGGGCCGATATCGCCTCTGCGCTGTCACAGTTGCCGGGTCTCGAGAGTCTCAATCTGAACCGCAACCGCATCGCCAGCATCCCGCCAGCGTCGACCTCGGCAAAGCTGCCCAAGCTCAAGGAACTTTTCTTGCGCGGCAACCAGCTCGACACATGGACTTCGCTCGAGAACATTCCGTCCTGGCTCGTTAACGACCAGCTCGAGGCGCTGCACATCTATGACATGGACGAGTCCGCGTCGGCAAATGTGGGATTGCTGGCGAGGTACGAGTACCGCGACTTTCGCGCGGTCGCCATCGCACGTCTGGGCAGCCTCGCAGTGCTGGACAAGACGCCGATCACGCCCAAGGAGCGCAAAGACGCCGAGTTGTTCGTCTACACGCGCTTCCGTCGGGGCGACGCATCGATCATCGAGGGTGCCCCTGCCGACCCTGGCCAATCTGCCACACTTGCGCTAGAGACGGCGGACATCGTTGCGCGATTCCCACGATTCGCGCAGCTCGCACAGCAGTTCGAAGCGGATACCGGCATGCCAGCCAGACCCGCAAGGGAGGGCACCACCACGCTGCGCTCCAATATGCTCTCGGTCATGGTGATCGCCTCGCCGTCGGCGCCGGCGCAGTGTCAGCCGCACGTGGCACAGCCGCAGGCATCCGCCACCGTGCGCCTGCTCGCCACAACGCCACTGCGCATCGCCAAGACCAAGCTCGCGGCGGCCGTGCGCGTGCGTGCCGACCAAGTGGACGAGGTGTGGGCGCTCCTCTCACCCCCCAATGCACCACAAGGAGCGGACAAGATCGTGCTCGAGATCGACGACCTTTCACGCAGCCTTGACTGGTACCAAGTCGGCTCCGACGACCAAATCGTTCTCGTCACCCAGTAGCTGCCCTCGATTCTATCCTCAAAGCCCGACATGCAAACGTACAAGAAAGTGCGTTAGATTCAGACTGGCAAAGAAGGAGGCTACACGAGTGTTTGCTGCGACGCCATGCGAGCAAGGCGGTTTAGGGAGGAGTGTGACCGCCAAAAATGACGTTCCAGTATTCGGCCTGTTCGCGCGCCAGACGTCGGCGGTACGCTTCCCACGCCGACTCGGTGGCGGCACGGTGAGCCTCGAGGTTGACTGGATCGATGGGCGTGATCATGTCGTCGCGCGAGGGCAGGCGACCGAGCGATCCGCCCCAGTCGATAAACCACCGACGCCCCAGCGGCCGCTCGTCGTTGGCATCGCCCACAATCGCGCGTCGCAGCCTGGGCGTCGCAGCCTATCCATCCCCATCAACGTCTCGTCAGCCCTGCACTCGCACGTTTAGGATCTAGAGACCAGTCAACTTACAGCCGAGGAAAGATGCACTAGGCATGCAGCGATAGCTGCCACCGCCACGAATTGTCCCAATCGCCACATGATCGAATGGTGCACCGAAAGATTCGACTTGGTCGAGAGAGGAGAGTGCGTGGTTCCTGCCTGCAGGGTTATCTGAAGGAGCACTGAAGGGAGCAGGAAGGAGGGGCGCTTGAGCCCTTCCCCAACGCATTTGCACCTTTATAAGTCGACCCCACCTTGCCTGCTTTCGGTGCACAGGCCGCGATGGCCGGGATGAGACTTTTGCAAAACGAGGCGGTGGGCCGGCTGCACATGAAGCCCAATCGCCACACTGATCGTGTTGGGCTTGTCGAGCAACAGCGTCACGCTTCATCAATGTGCCACCACCACGCATGCGCCACGGGCTCAGCCGACGGCGTCCAGACCGTCTTGTCGCCCAATCCACACTCGAAATCAGGCCAGGACGGAGACGGGCTCTTCCAGTGCAGCTACTCTCGTGCGGAGAGGAGGAGTGGATTGACACAGACGCACACGGGCGAAGCGATGGAAGCAGCCATGCTGCCTCGAACCCTGCTTCATAAGCCCACAACCCCACCAAACGCTCCCATCGGCTCCTGCTCCTCCGGTGTCAAATGCCTCTTCAACCCCTTCGATCAAGGGCGAACAATGCGGTACACCATCTCCGTGAGCAGAACCCCCGGAGGCTGCAAAATGGGCGCCACGCGGTAGCATGCTTGGCGCGCCAACAATGCGTTCCTGGGAACAGGTGCACGCCACGCCCAACGGCTACCAATTGCGATGCTTGCAACGATTCCCAGCTGTGTCAGGATACCGACCATTGTGATGATAGGTGCACCACGCGGTGGCTACGGTTCCGGTCGCCGACGGTATCCCTCCCACTTGCGAATTCGGCGGGAGCTTCATTTGGCGTGCGGGACCCGTGCACTCGTCGTGCTTATCGAGCCAGAAATGAGATTTACGCTCGAGCTTGCCCAAAGGCAGGATGAAGATACACACGAGCTCGACAGTCACCGTTTGGCAGGCATCGGAACGAGAGAGATTCAGCACAGACAGGGCGTAAGCTTGATGCCGAAGCAGTGCGTCGCTAGATGTCGTTTCCGACGTAGAGGTCTGCAGCCGATGCCGAACCCCACTCCAGAGCAGGGAGATGAAGTGCGCGCAGCAGCATAAATAGGCGAGTGGATCCAGCGACTCGTTTGGGCTTATCGACGTCTCGAACCCGCCGCTGTCCCGCCCGACGCTTTACTCCCCGCTTCGCTGTGCGAGCGTACCTTCCCCTGTCCATCCGCATACCTCTGGGGTATCGATTCGCTGGTCGAAAGCCCCCCTCTTTCCTGTCAAACAGGTGCATCGGCAGTCTCCACGCTTCTTTCCTTCCATCACAGCGACTGGGGGATCAGGATGCACCGACACGATGGGAGCGAGTATTTGCCGGCGGTGTTGGGCAGCCAGCCGCACGGGAGCCAGGTGATTGCACTCATGCGCTTCTCGCAGGAGGCCATGACGTGGAATCTGCCCGTGCTCATCGCGCAGACCTTGCTCGTGGCCGAAATCGTTCGAACCTACCCTGCGGAAGTGCGTATGCTGATGCGCATCGTCCGTCGAGGCCGTCCGAACGTTGCCGAGATTTTTTTCATGGTGATCAAGTACCTTGCACTGATCGCGGTGATCCTCGACATTCTGGTGAGCGACACGTTTGCGGCGACGACGGACTTTGCATGTCGCTCGTGGGCATGGACCTCGTCCACGTTCTACTTTGTCTGCTCGACGCTGGTATTCTGCGTGATCGGTTGGCGAGCGCGGATCATCTTTCGCACGTCGCAAAAGGCGACCTACCTCATCTCGGGCGGTTTGGTCGTGCAATTGGCCATTTCAATGTGGACCAACTGGCGCGTAGTCAAGGCGGATGCGCTGACTGTCGCCGGCACATGCGCACCGGCAGCCCAAGTGCACGCAGGACCCGACGGTAACGGTGCGCTCCGCATCCACTTTTGGCAGAGCTCCACATTCTGGTTCCTGCTGTACAACACGCTGTTCGAAACGGCGCTGCTGGCGACGTGCAGTCTGCGGCTGTACAAGACCTCGAGTGGTCCCGCTGGCCTCACACGCATTGCCAAGATGCTCTTTGTCAACAACGTGCACTACATGGCGGGCGTCGAGACATGCAACCTGATCGAACTCATCATGCTGCTTGGCTGGGCCTCCAGCCTGCCTGCGGTGCACATGACGAGCATCGCTATCCAGATCGTTGTGGGATTGCAGATGCTGATTGGAGAGCAGGAGGCTGTGCATAGCCCTAGCTGCTCGCGCGTCGGCTACTCGGTCGCCAACTCGACCACCAGCAGCTACGCCAAGCCGACTGCCACCACCGCCACCAGCGACGCTTCGTATTCGGGACACGTGCGCGCACTGTCATACATCAAGAGACCCGCAACCGCCGGTTCGGCGAGAGAGCCGGCGTACATCCAACATCGTGGCCGCGGTCGCAAGGGCACGCTCTCGTCCATCTCGAGCGTGCCACGGTACGCCAAACCCATCCCGGAAGAGAACGTACCTGGCATGCCACAAAGGGCTGCCACCGCTCCAGATAACGGCGTCCAAGTCTCGATCGAAATGCCGCCACTCGCGCACGCCAGCTCGGCACCCAACGGTTCCGCGTACCATCCTCAATAGACCACACGCAGCCCCAGTCACCCATTCACTCTCGTTCGACCCCATCCCTCTTTGACCAAAGTCTGTTGCTGTCTTCGCCGTGTACAATGAGCCTGTTCCCACTGCCCCTCCTTTCTTTCTCATTCCTTCCCGGCTTGCAATGCCAACAACATTCCCTCCGCCCTCACTTTCTGCAGGATGATCGATTTCGAGGCGTATGAGGTGCTACCTATTGCGTTCGTCGCTGACCTGTTTGAGGTGGTGTGACTCGAGCCGCTGGATCGACGCCTTGCTGGACGACATCGCCTGGTGTATGCTTGCGGTCATGTTGTCGTCTGCGTCCGCATCCGGATCCGAGAGCGTCAAGCTCGCCTGGCGGCGCATCTCGTCTATGGGTCTGTTCGGCCGCAAGTCGTACGGCCGATCGGCATCGGATGTAGCTGCACGCTGCGGCGATGGGCGCCGTCTCGACTTTGCTGACGCCTGTGCGTCCTCGTCCTCGTCGCTGTCCCGGCCGATGGCGTGGTGTGGCTGTGCCGAGTGGTCGAGTGCGGATTCCGAGAAGTGCGAGTCCTGCGAGATGCGGTCCGAGGTGTTGAGGAAAGCTTCGTCGTCCGGGTTGATCTTGGAGTATGCCGAGGTGTAGGGGTTGTGTCTGAGGAGCGAGTCGATGAGCCAGAACTGGAGCACGTTCATGGCGAGCGGGAAGAGGGCCATGGAGAAGAGCACCTGCGCGTCCTTGTGGCTGCCAAAGAAGCCGAGGATCCACGAGCCGACGTCGAAGAGGAACGGAAAGATGGCCAAGACGACGAGCACGGCCATCTTCATTAGCAAGAGCACGAAGAGATACGAGGCGAGCTGCTTGAGCCAGTACTCTAGCCTAGGCTTGGCTCTTGCCAAGGAGCGGCGGGCTGCTGGGCCTGCGCTGCTGCCGTCCGATGCGGTGGCCGCTCGCGCCGATGCAGACGACAGAGGTGTGGGCAAGGGCGGCGGAGCATACTGACCCGAGACGAACCCCTCGAGGCCGAGCCGCTCTGTGAGGAACCAGGTGACGTACTTGAGCGCAACGTAGATGAAGAAGACGCCGAGGGTGGTGTCGACGAGGATGTTGAGAAAGTAGAGCGAGCATGGATTCTCTCCGCCGCCGCTTGCGACAAAGTCGGAGAGGACGACGTTGAGGATGTGGACGAAGAGCTGGCCGAGCATCTGCTTGGAGACGTCCAGCGCCCAGATCTTCCACCTTCGCTTGGGCTTCTCGCGCTGGCGTTTGTAGACGAGCGAGCCGATGACGAGGATGCCCATGATGGCCTGCACGAAGAGCGCAAACGGCCCCATGAGCTTGCACTTGTCGCCGTCCACCTCGGGCGTGCCGAGGATCGGGGAGGGCGTGGGAGACGGCGACGATGCTGAGTCGCGCATCACCCGTGCAGCGCCGGCAAGCCCGACGAGCCGCGCATCGGACAACGGCATGGCTGGCGGTCGGTCCGTCGATCTTCCCACGACGTGGACCCAGCAGTCGACGAGGATGGTGACGAGGTGATGGGTAGAGTCGCAAAGGCAGAAGGCACTTCCACACTCGAATCAACTCGACCGACCGACATGCGTGGCCCCTCAGCGGTCTGTGCTTTAAACTGACTGCATTTTGCATTGCCACATCGGCAGCTCCGCTTTCCGCTTGCGTTGGGTGGGAGGCTTGTCGGAATTTTCCGCCTCGGCATTCCCCTCTAAATCACACGCCTGACCACCACATCCACGGCCGACATCCGACATCAAGCATTCGAGGCATAGAAGCAGAGGCAAAGTTGTAAGATGCAAAGGTATACAGTACATTGATAGGAGCACGCGATACAGGATGACAAAGTGTGTAGGTGTGGGCGTTAGAAGAAGGCGCCAAAATCGTACTTTTCACCGGGCGCAGGTCCCGTAGCAGCGGCAGCCGCCTTGGCCGCACCCACGGCTGCCTTGGCGGAGGAGCTCTTGGCCGACGAGGAGCGCTTGGGCGTCGGCTTGGATTTGGAGGGGACGACGACGCGTGCCTTCTTGTTGTTCATTCGACGCTCCTTGCGCGAGAGCTGCTGCTCGTCGTCGTCGTCATCGGCCTCGTCGTCGCTGGCGCTCTCGCCGCTGCGCTTCTTGCTGCCGCCGCCGTTCTTCTTGAGGATCGACTTGAGCTTCTGCGGTGACTGCTCTGCCTCTGCCTCGTCGTCTTCGTCCTCCCCCTCCTCATCCTCCTCCTCCTCCTCGTCATCGAAGCTCTCGTCGCCCGCTTCGAGCAGCGCCTCGTCGATCTCTTCCTCGTCCTCCTCGCTGTCCTCCTCGGGCGGAGGCGGCAGCATCTCGACCTCCTGAAGCACCAGCGCCTCGCGGCCAAGCACCGCCGAGATGGGCTTGAGTCGCAGCTCGCGTGCCTGGAACTTCTTCCTCCACTCTTTCCTCGGCAGCACCAGAGGCATGGTGGACGCCACGCGCTGCTTGGTCTCTTCGGACGCCTTGAGCGCCTTGTCGCCGAGCTTGGGCGCCTGCGTGTAGTAGCCCAGCATCTGATGCGACCAGTCGCGCAGCAGCACACGCGACGCACCGATCTCGTCGGGGATGTTGCGCTTCTTCATGCGGCCCGTCGCACGCGCCAGCGCGATCAGGAACTCCTGCGTGTCGGCGTGCACCTTCTGGCGTCGCGCCGCAGCCTGGATCTTCTCGGCCTCCTCGGCGTCGGCTTCCTCGTCCGCCAGCGAGGCTCGCTCCACCTGGAACGAGCCGTACGCCGGTACGTTGTAGATGAGCATCAAATCCTCCGGATGCGACACGCGCGACATCAAAGACCACGTCAGCGGCAGCGGCTCCTTGATCCTCTGCACGTGGCCCTGGTTGCGCATGAGCGTCTGCATCGACTTGAGCTCCATGCGTGCCATCAACTTGTGCTCGTCGTCCTCCTCGTCCTCCTCTTCATCCTCGTCCTCCTCCGCGTCCGAATCTTCAGCAGCCTCTGAGCTCTTGAGCGGGATCAGCGCAGGCGTGTCGAGCACGGCAGGCCAGTCGCTCGTCTCATTGTCCTCGTCCTCCACATCTTCGTCCTCGGGAACGCCGATGGCGTTGAGGATCGCATCGGCGACTGTGCTGCGTCCCGAATGCGCCAGACCGACAACGGCAACGTCTCCCCGCTTGACGCCCTTGAGCGCGAGCTTCTCAACGAGAGCCTCGGCGCCCGTGTTCTCGGGCAGCGCGTCCGAGGGAGCGCAGATGGGGAAGACGGGAAGACTGGTGGAGCTGGAAAGGTAGGCGGTCCACGCAGCCACGGTCTCGAGAGGCACCATGTCGGCACGGCTGAGTGCCAGCGCGAGTTTCTTGCCCTTTTGCTTGCCAACGGCAGCCTCGAGCCATGGGCTGCGGAAGCTCTGGGGATCGCGCGCATCGAGCGCCAGCACGATGGTCTTGATCTCGTCCGAGGCGAGCAGCTCCTGCAGCGTGCCACGGTAGAGCGGAGCTGTGAGCGGCATATCGTCCAGGGCGTCCTCGTCCACCATCTCGTCGCTGTCCTCAGCCCCCTCGACGTCGGAGCCGTCCTGCGGCTCGTCGGCGTTCTGCTCGCCGTTGTTGCGCTCGGCGAGCTTCTCCGCCTTGCGTGCGAGCTTCTCCTCCTCCTGAAGACGGCGCTTGGTCTCGATCTCGTTGAGCAGCTGCTCCTTGTACGGGAACGAGTTGGGAATGCCCGGATCCTTGCGAGCCTTGCTCTTCCATTGCGTACTCCTGCGCTCGTCACGGTTGGTCTTGCGACGGTGCTCCTTGACCTTCTTCTTGATCTTCTCCCTCTGCGCGATCTTGACACGCTTGGACGCGCGCTTCTTGACTTTGACCATGGTTACGTGGGGTAGCCTGACTTACGAGGTCAGGTATGGAGCAGAGGTGGTGGCCGGGACGTAAGCCGAGGCAGCGTTGCAGTACCTCAGTTCTTCCAACAGTCTCAGGGTTCGAGCTGTCCTCATCCGCTGCTGCTGGGCCAACTTTTCGAGCAGCGAAAAATTCGCTTTTGGCCAACCACAAAAAAAATAGGGCAAAGCAGACCCTTCTCGGTTTAGGTGATGCTTAGTCACAGCCGCATCCCAGGAATAACTGAGCGAGAAAAAAAAAA